GCACAAGCCTTCCAAGTTTTTCTCCCATGGCTGCCAACATCCATACCTAAACTAGAGGACCACACTCTGACCAGAAAGAAACGGAAATTAAAGAAGAAAAACAAAGTAGAGAGTAGTACACCTTCCGGGGTAGATTAATTGGGGACGCCGGTCGGACTTCTCTGCCGTTATGGAATGTGCAGTTTAGTACTTTTTCCCAAAATTTGAGTCATTTTTTTTATCTTCAGAGGTTAGAATGAGTTTCCACGTTCCAAATGCACAATAATATTTGATGTTTCTTTTTTTTATTTTCCTTCGTTTCTGAAAAGAGTAATCGTTACTTTGTGAAATTAAACTCTTATTGTGGTGCCAGTAAGGATTTGCAATTCTTGTAATAGCACTGTTGAGTTTTCTGTTTACACAATTGAGTTCCTTTTTTTTTTATTATTAGTGAATTTATTTGTTCTTCAGATTTTAGTGACTGGGAGGGTTTTTTTTTTTTTTTTTGAACAAGCGATATTATTTACAGCAAAGGGGTGAGCTTAGTCTCAAAATGGGCTAGTAATAATTTGATTCAAATTCGCCTTTGGCGAGAATCAAACCTAAGACCTCTCTCATTTACAAGTGAATAGAAATATCACTAGACCGTAGTACCAAGTCACTTAATTGTTCGTAATAATATAAGCAGCGGCATGAGATCATATACCAAAGAAAATAGGCAAGTTATTCGACTCTCTCCGAAGAGAGTTGAGAGAGAGGGGGTTCCGCCTTCTGTCTAGACGCTCTCCCCCACCACTTGGTTTGCTTTAATCTTGGTATTTTCAGCCGCCCTTTAGACCATCTCCAACCCTTGGGCTAAAAGCCAAATTTTTTAGCCCGGAAAATTTAGCTTTTAGCCCAGAAATATCTTTTCTACTCCAACCCTTCTACCCTAAAATTTTAGCCCGGAATTATTAAAGAATGAAATTAGCCTGAATTTTTTTCTTAAATCAATTTTTTTTTAAATAAATATGTAGATTATTGTAAATTAATTTTATGAACATTTTAATCTAAAAAAATTTAAATTCCGATAAACATTTCGCATTTAGCCCGGGGGAAAGCTGGGGGGTATTTGGCCCAGAAATAGCATTTGGCATTTAGCCTAAAATTTTAGCATGGGTTGGAGAGTGTTTGGGGGGGGGGTAATTTGGCTTTTAGCCCAGGGTTGGAGATGGTCTTAGGGGCAACCCCTATTTTTTCTTTGGGGTGTGATATCCACACACCCCATTTTACTTCTCACATATCTTTTTAATTTTCGGATGTCGGATCGGATGAATTGAAGAAGATCAACGGATAGAAATTATCAAGGGGTGTGTGAGAAGTAAAATGAGATGTGTGGCTTCTCTGCCCTGTGTGGCACCTGTGCTAAATTACCTGTGCTAAATTTGGGTCATAGAATTCTTCAATATATTCTTCTCCCTTAGGAGGAAAGATATATAATACAACTTTACTTACCAAGCAACGATACGTAATAAAGTCTACCTTAATTACAACTTACAAGGAAACAATCAAGAAACGAATCCTGCTACTTGGACTCCATTATGCCAAGAATGTCAACTCACGCCAACATTCATTCTCAAGTTAATGCATAGATGTCGCTAATACCCAACATAACAAGTGAGTTGTAGAGCGCTTAACTAGAAACTGTTATCGTCAATATATCCGCCAACTGATCTTTTGATTTTATAAACAAAAATTGAATTATTTACGTCTAATTTTTCCTTAATGAAATGTCTATCCTATCATGCGGAATCGGATTATGAGAAAAATCAATGCCAACCTTATCATCACAGAACAAGTTTGTCACATACGTGAGCGAATACCCAAGTTCTACGAGCAACCTCCAAAGCCACAATGTACTCACACAATCCTCTCGCCATACTTTCGTATTGTGCTTCTACACTTATCATGCTTTAAGATGTATTTTTAACAAGCGTAACACTATGAAACTTATATGTAATGAAAAGCTTAATAATTGTCATACAAACTAGACAGTCAATTCTGCATGGTCAATATTCGATTTTTTCCAACATCAAGACAGGGTGCATGGTATGATAAATTGAGACTCGTTAACACATAGAATGAATGCCGTCTTAGCATTTTTGACCAATAATACAATGTCATGTCTATTTATCTGCATGACTTTCCCGTTATCAGTTTGGGCCTTCGCAGTGTTGAACCTAGTATAGTTAAGTCCTCGTACCACTAATGGGCCTGTTCATGGACATTAAGCCCAAGAGGAACTTGAGGTAATGTGGTCCAAACCTTCCAATAACCCTTTGGGAGTTCAGATGAAACGCGGTCTAAGTAGCATTATCCGACAACGGCGGAGTTTTGGCGCCATCCCCCAAAAACCGCCGAGAGCAATGGCGTTAGAGCGAGCAATTCCGGCAGCAACAAGCACAACCTTCCTCGCCAACCCCAAAGTTCCCGCATTTTTCCCAACCACCAACCACTTGGCCTTCGCACGGCGCCGGTTCAATCTCAAATTCTCGATGGAGTACAGTAGAGACCAGTACAACGGCAGCGGGAGCAGCATTCAGGTGCCGATAGCGTTTCCTAGACCGGCGGAGGTCCAGTGGAAAAAGGAGCTGTGCAATATGGTGCACCTCATCGGCGTCGTCGGTCTTCCCGTCGAAATTAAGCACCTCCCCTCCGGAAAGGTCCTCGCTTGGACCCGCCTCGCCGTCAAGAAGTCCGCCACCGATACCTCTTGGTAATAATTCTTTATCGATTTCGGGGTTTTCGGGTTTACTCATATTTTGCAGTTGATGGCATCCATTCAAATTTTGGATTTTTGATGACTGATGCTCAGTTGTTTTGCTCTGATGCTTCCAATCAGTGTGGTTTTGCTCTGATTCAATCATATTTTTTTTGTTTGAGAGAATGTGAAACGTTAAATTCAAATGGGAATTTGACATTAAAATTTCTTTGAATGTCTCGCAATGCATAGTTTTTGAGGAAATATGTTACAAACTTTTTAATAAAAAAATAGAACTTGGTAGACACTAAACAACGTATATAAAACCTAGTGTTTGTTAAGTTTGTAACCGGTTCTCATTGCTCATATTTTCCAAGTTTTTCAGTTAATATAACCTTAGTAAAACTGTGAATGCTGCTGTGAGTATAAGGAGTGTGGGAGGCAATTAGTAATGAAAATTGGTTTTCCTTTTCTTTCAGGATTAATCTGACATTTTGGGATGAGCTTGCACATGTTGCTTTTCAGCATGTAGAGAAAGGCCAACAAATATATGTATCGGGCCGTCTGATTTCAGATTCTGTTGAAACCGACGAAGGGAAGCAGCAGACCTACTACAAGGTTTTTTGGCTTCTGGTCTTTCTAGTTGTAGTGGGATTCTGCTGTTTGTTTGTTTAGAAATTGAATTTGATCTGATGCAGGTAGTTGTTCAGCAACTGAATTTTGTTGAAAAGGGCTTTTCATCGCCGGCATTGAAAGATCACGACTCTGATTCCTTTACAGCGGGCAAGTCATATCTTCAGTAACATGAGTCTAGATAAGAGCAGAAATACCATTTGTTCTTAATCTTATTAATTTTATTCTTTTCTTACAGGCAGAAATCTTGGCAACAATGCCACAAAGAACATAACGGAAACAACACAAGAATTATGGCAAGCCTTCTTTGCTAATCCAGTTGACTGGTGGGATAATAGGAATACCAAGGTACTTTATTTGATCACTATATAAGTCGACAATATGCATTCTTGAGCACAGGTTTGTATCCACTGCAAGGCTGCTCTGATTAATAGTTCCAATTGAAAGTAGTCATAAAAAATACTTTCATATGTTTACTTTTACTTACTTGTAACAACGGTTTTCGTTGTTTGTTTTTATGGGCTTTTCATTTGTTTGGTCAATAAATATGAGCTTCAATAGGGAAAAAGGAGCCAAGGATCAAACATTACAGAAGCTTAAAAAACAAAAAAGTGATTCCTCTTATGCTTTTGTAGGCCCTAGAAAGTAGCCCTGATCTTAGGAGTCCTATAAACACGAGTTTGGTAGATATATGGATTATAAACTATCTGAACTTTTGGAGTCCTGTACGAGTGCACTAGTTGCACCTGTCCATGGCCGCCCCTGTGCATGCACAAATGCAAAAACATTGTTGGTGCTGCAAGGACGAGAAGAAACTGTGTTTTCTGAGTTGGCCCGACGTGGAATGCATGAAGATTTTTCCCTCGTAAAATATCAAACCAAATATCAAAATTCTAGTGCTTAAAAAAATGGTATTATACTAGAAAACTACAATGGATGAACTGGGATATGTTATACACTGTTTCTAGACATGTCGATAATAAATGTTGAAATAGAAATGGTGGGAACGGAATACATATTTACGTTTGTTAGACAAGTGCTCGGTTAATGCCATATGTGCACATGTAAACTTTTAATTTCATGTCATCTGCTGTTTGTTCAGATTTCTGATAAGAATATGCGAAGAAAGCTCACTCTTGTTTACTCGGTTTTGTTTTATGATTTTCAGAGGAACCCAAAATATCCAGATTTTAAGCATAAAGATACTGGAGAAGCCTTGTGGATTGAAGGCCGGAACAATCCGCCGTGGGTGAAGTCCCAACTTGCCATACTGGATACAAGAATGGGGACCCTTAATGACCAAGAACATAACCTGCATACAGATATATTTGCCGGTGATAGTTTTTCGCCTTTCTAAGTGCTTGTGGTGCTAGCTGTAGGAAACCAGTCTTTGAGGCGTAATTTATGTATAGTTACTATCAATTTTTGGTGGAGATACTGAACAATTCGGTTTTGTTTCTATATTTTGTATTGTTGATTTGCAATTTATATGATGTGCTGGTGATCTAGCTTTTCATCCTTCTAGAACTTGGCAATGACTTTACAGTTTACAATTTTGGCCTCGGATATCATACCAGTTTAATTACGGTAACACCGGAAAGCAATCGATGGAACGATAACTATTGAAGAACTGTACAGTATAGCTCAAACAATTCATGAAAATTGCCATTAACGAAAAGTATGAAGATGAATGGAAGAAACAGCTACATGTATTTGGATCTACACAAAACTGCCGTATAATAGACTTTGTGTAATCTTATCGTTACATATATATATATATACAATTTGGATCTCAGCGAATAAGTTTCTTGTCCCGGTACCTTGTTCTTTAAGCAAATATCGATTTCGAAAACAAACAAAAAATGAAAATGTATTGTCTGAGCTACATGTATATCTGTGTCTTTTCCTGTAGTTTTAAGGAGTTTTAAGTGCCTCCATAGTGTATATATTCATCCCTCTTTCTGCATGCCTTCAGAAACAAGTAGTGAATCCTCTGGCTTCCGATCCCTTCATGATTCTCAGCCTATTGCAGGAAGAAACAAACATACTGCAGCCACAACAAAAAAGAGTCATTAGTTACGAGTTTTTTCAGAGATCGAACGGATCATATGAATTCTAAAGGAAACTGCAAAGATAGGGTTTTAATCGAAAAATATGAACTTACTTCCATGGGACATCTCCAACAAGCATCCAGTCACCATCTTTGTCTTCATAAGTCGGAGCAAAATCCAGTCCATTAATATTGGCTAGGTTGAACATCTTCTCTAAGGCCTCGATGAGTTCCGCGTAGCTATTGTAAATCTTGAGATCAATCTTTCTCAGATAAGGAGCTCCGTCAACGCTTACTTTCACGTACACATCGGATTTTTGCAGTTGCAAACTGTTTTTCCTGTAAGATCTGATTGGGGGCCACCCTACTACTTGTGTCCTGCACACATTTCAATCATTAATTAGCAACCTAATTACTTAACTAAAACTTCTTAATCAAATATTAACATGAAACTCATAGTCCATATATGAACGTTGCTTACTTGGTGGGAGGGGCATCTATGTGATCAGAATTTGTACTGCATTCCTCAGCCGTTGAATCCGGCGAGGCCCTCTTGTTATTCTTTGTCATAGGAGGAGATGCTGCTGCTTGTTTGTTCTGAGGCTCCTCAGAGCTTCCAGGCAACCCTAATCTTAGCTCAGTTGCCTTGAAATTTAGCTGGTCTTCCATCTTAATCACTTTGCTAACAAAAACCCTAATGGTTTTGCAGATTGCAGACGAATTTGCAGAAGGTGAATATTTAAAGAGAAATGTGTTTAGGGTTTGTTGTGAGAGATTTTGATTGATTCGGTCAGGTGGAGTTGAAGTTTGATTGATTTCCTTGAGGAGAAGATGTGATGGCACTCAAACTTTTATAGGATGTATTGTGTGAATATTGTGAGAGGGACAACATACTGTTGGTTGATTTTCATATTTCGTGGTGCATGGCAGCATGAGATTCACTCATTACTTCATGAATGGTAACATCACATGCTGTCCCCCACGCGTTAGTTCAATGACCAACCACAGGTGGACAATTGGACATACCGGAATTTCAAAGCGGGGCCTACGCACTCTACCCATCGATTACTTGATTAGCAATGTTACTTGAATCGCTTTGCATATCACATTTCACATTGTAGACTGCATCTCTAATAAACTTGAAATTTGAAGATAATTTGGTTTCTTAAAACCCATTATTTCCTCTCCTCTCACTTTTTTAGTTATTGGATTAATCGTATGGTTCAAATGAGAATCAAACAACAAAAATAAAAGAATGATGCAAAAATAAGAAAATGAAAGTATGAAAATCACTACTTAATTTAAAACTGATGTAGAGATGTGTTTCGCATTATGATTTATAAATGATGATACAAAGTAGTTTTACTCTTAAGAATTATATTTCAAACCGGTGTTTGGGATACTCGTCCACGCATACGCAAGTGTGTGAGCATAAGTTGTTAATGTAATTGAGACCAAGGACACATCAACCATTAAGTTTTTTTTTTTACATATAAATGATTGCCCTCAACATATTTCTTCAATTTTATTAGAAATTAGATATGCAAAATCATTTTGTTTTTAATTGATTGGATGCGGTTGGTATATGAATGATTTCTTGATTTAGGTTAGACAAGTGCAGATATGGATGCTACTCACATCAGGAACACCGTGCAGTATGGTGCCCGATTGGAAGGGGACAAAGGAGGGACAACCATAGCCGATGCTACTGAAGACCGTGGACTGATAATGGACGGCTGTGATCGGCAGTTAAGGTAGGCTTTGTGACTGTTCACACAGCACCATTGATCAGGAGGATGGAACGGAAAAAACAGGCCCATGTGACTGCATACGGTCCCATGTGGCTGTTGTGGATTGGGTAGGCACGGCCATGTGGGCAGAGATAAGTGGGACCGGAGATTTAATTGGCCTGTGGTTACATGACATGTGGGATTCCATGTGGTATGGTCAGCTGACCATTCCCGCTCTCTTTGCCTCACCCTAACCCTAATCCATCGTATTTCTGGTGGTTGACCGTTGACTTGCTTAAACTAATACATCACAATATAATACATTATAAAAACATCATTTTTATTTTAATTCACAATATACTACAATATTAACAAATACTTAAATTTTCTAACGAAATATGTATCATTATGTTTATTTGAACGATATGTTAAATAATCTAATTTAAAATACGAAAAAAGAAATTTGAATCTTGATAGAAAATAACACATTATTTCAAATAATTTGACTACGTTCAAGTTGACAACCACATATTATATTTCAAGAACAAAACAAAAGCATATTTTATCCAAAAAAAATTATATAACATCTATGCCTTTAGGAAGTAAATGAGATGTGATGCCAATATGCATGCATGTGTATGAATTTTGAACTCTTTTCTAACCATCCAATTTGAGCCTTTTAAGAAGATGGAAATATAATATACAAGGTGATGAAAGTGACCACATTCGTGCATATTATTAATTTATTATTAGCGCAGTTCCAAGAACTAGAAATAACTCGTGATTATTATTAATATTTATGACGAAAATATATTAGAAAGTATAAACTTTGTCTTGTATGTGAAGCAACAAATTTTACATGGATATCTGATTTGCCAAGTTGTTTGCCAAGTTGTTTAAATTTTAACGTGATCTTCTTTTTCCCATAGCTAGCTACTTCCCAATGTTGCATCTTTTGGATATATCAGCGTTTTTTTAGGGTTTCCACTGATCGATTCGTGCTTTAATTGCCATTCCACAGAAAGAAATACATATTCGAGTTTTTTTTTTTCCATCAATTTTGGTTAAAGACCATGCATGCTTTATCATTCACAAGATAAATAAATTTTTGAATAACGAGAAGAAGAAGTTGAAGAACGGACACCGACACGACCTAGCTAGCTGGTTCGAAGCAACTTTTGGAATTGGACAGCCAAATTCTGAGCTTTTGAAAGGGAAAGATGTACATGTACACGCAAAGAGACAACTCAGAACTGATAAGCCATGCAAAAAGGAGGAGCAACGGACAAGAAAAGTGTCAACATTAAGCCATTCCATACTGAACACTCTTTTGTGTGAACCGAGCTAGCTAGGGTAGCTAAACACTTATAAGTATAATACGGCAAGCAATATACAAAGAGTTTGTAGTTCAAGTCTTTAAAAGTATTTGTTTTCACACTCGAGGTCCCCGAGTGAGTTCCCCGTCAACAAGGACTACTGACAAGACGAGTGTAATGGTCGGGTCTACCACCTTCAATCTTCATCATCTTCATGAATAGATTGGGCCACGGACTCTCAGGGCATTGATTTCTTCGTGTCTGTCCATGCCTTCGCTACTTCCCTCTTATTATGTCCATGCATTCTGGCCATCGTAATTAATGATAGATGAGATAGGGCAAATTGGAAGACAAATGTACATACACGTGTGACATGATAAGATTGATTACTGTCGATATCAAGTGGGCCTTAATCCACACGTGGGTGCAATGCAATGCAAAAGTTATGAGTTTTTGGAGTTTTAGGGCTTTGAAGGAGCTGAGAAGGTCCATTACCAGAAGGGCTTGTCCCTTAAAGCTGAATAAATGGTAGTCCTATATATATGGGGTTCTGGCCAGTCCGCCATGACGTGCCATGCATACCCATATTTCATATTGTGTCTCTTCATGAAGCTTGTCACACTCAAACATTGTACATACAGTGTGTGTGTGTATATATCATCATCACTCAATTATATATGAACGATATGCTGGCAACAGTTGCCCACACTCTTGGGTGATGTCGGTCAGATGTTCTGTGAGACTACTCAATTTTATCGACGGTCAACGATCATTCACGAATGTATGAATAATTTTGTGTCGTATGACTAATTAAAACTACCATTGTGTAGGTTTGTCGCTAGGGTCGGCCTTTAGCAATGACAATAGTTTACGTGCCATGAGTATACGGTTACCGTGGTGTCTCTTGTTGAGAAAGAATAAGTCCTACATTGATGGGAGGAAAGATCTTGCATGGACTTAGAAGTAAGTTGAGCTACTCTTCATAATGTCAATTGATTTTCTGGCAGAACCTCAACTTTCTTCATGGTATCAGAGCAAGTTGTCCCATGTCATATGTGAAGCCAAATGACCACATGTGCCTCACGTCACTCCATTGTTTTGTTGTAAGGCTTGAAAATTAGCCACACGTGAGGGGACGTGTTGAGAATGAGTCTCAAATTGACAGGAGGAGAGACTTTGCATGACCTTATATGTAAGTTGGGATACTTCAAGTGGAATCTCAACTTTCTCCATCTCCTACATATCATAGTGTCATATAGAAAGAAGCTAACACATGTCATTATATTAACATTTAGATACCGTACATATCATGCATATAGTGTCATGTAGAAAGAAGTGTGACCACCCCCTGGTCTGCATCTGCAGGGAGGTCCCAACTAGCTACACAACGTTAATGCTAATGGAAAGCATAATGTAATGCGTGTTCATTTGTACTTAGATTTGAATTGGCACCTTATGTATAGAAATATTTATTTCTATAATATAAAAGGTCTCGTTACACCTTCACCTATCTGTATAAAAAAATGAGGCATATGTTGCCAAATGAACAAGTAACACAGAAATCTTCATGTCATGTTAAACCGTTGATTCGATATATATATATATTAACAGAAAACTGCTAAACGGTAGATCTATCATCTGTGTGCTATACATTAGCATGTGTTGCATGCATGAACTGCAGCAGGCAGCAGCTGCGACTTCTATATATATATATATATATACACCAAGATTAAACGGAGGATATACATTTATATATAACGAACTTGATTACGGGAATAAAAAGATTCCATGCATAGTGACTTAGAGAACAAAATTATACTGCTGATTTGCTATTTAAACCCTAATCCCGAAACTTTTTTACTTTAATCTCTTTTTAACATGCATGACACCGTCCAATGAATAAAACAAATTCTAGCTGTGGTGAAAGGAGGAAAGGGAAAATTAATAGAAAGGAATAAACTAGCGTTATCTATATATCATTGAATAATTATTGTTTACGTACCAACAAAAATTAAAATTATATACACAGAGAAAATGTAATGATTGTATTACAATGATTACTGATCATGATCGAGCATTTTGGCAGATGGGTGTTGCATTATACATTTTCTTGTTTATTATGTAGTACATATATATAAATGAAAGTCTAATTTTTTTATACTATAACGATATATCTCAAGAGTTATATATATGAACTGACTTATATATAATGAATCATTTCTCTTTACTTATAGATCACTATTTCAGATGTATGTAAAAGTAATTCATTCAAATAAACAAAAACGAAAAGTTGTGTATACATATGAGGGTTAGACAGTTGGTTAGGAAATGATAATTTGGGCTGGTTTGGTATTGTTATGCCTTGAAAAAAAACTGTTTTTACTGTGCTTATGAAAATAAGCTTATTTTTGCTGTTTCACGTTTTCAGCTTTTTTATCACCCAAAACTGTGAAAATAAGTTGTTTTTAAGTGTTTACCAAACACCTTTTTGAGCTCAACTTTTTTTATATCCACTTTTTATAAAAGCACCTTAGTACCAAACCATTACTTTATCCGCTCTCTTACAGCTGATTTTGAATCTTTCTTTTCTTATATTAAAGTAACGTAGAATATAGTGTTGTTGAGAATAAAAGAAAAACAAATTCAAGTACAAACATTTTAAATTATAATTTGCCTATATGGAGGAATAATTCATGACATATAAAGAGTAAAGAGCGGAATAATTTTTTGTTAAAGAAATTTTTCTAAGTACCGAGTACACAAGATAGCTGGTGTTCCCACGAATGGGCA